AGCGTGTATACTAATTTTTAAAAACATTTTCAGGAAATTTATGTGGAAAAACAAATGAAACTGTATTATCAGAATTCATGTAAAATAGACTGATCAGAAAATATTTTTCACAAAGAAAATATTTTTCCCCTTACTGAATCGAGAATAATCACAAGGCTTTACATTTCTACCTGTTACGAGTATAATTCCTAGAGTTTGACTAAATCATAAACTAGAACTCTTTAAAGAAAAAAAAAAAGAACAAGAAAAGACACTGATGAGGGGGCGGGTTGGGGAAAGAGGGGATCTTGTCTGAGAAAATAGGCCCATACAACCACCGTGTGAGCATTTACGGATTTGCAGACAGGACCTTTCAGAAACCACTTAATCTTAGAGAGTAAGAATTGGGACCGGGGACTTCCCTGGTGGTCCAGTGGGTAAGATTCCTTGCTTCCACTGCAGGGGACACAGGTTCTATCCCTGGTCGGGGAACTAAGATCCAGCATGCCACGCAGCACGGCCAAAAAAATTTGGGGCCGGAAGATGCAAAATCCGGGTTGGGGGGGACTCTGAGGGGGGACTCTGAGGTGTCAAGACTGAGTATTCTGGGCTTCCCTGGTGGCGCAGTGGTTGAGAATCCGCCTGCCGATGCAGGGGTTCACGGGTTCAAGCCCTGGTCTGGAACAACTACTGAAGCCCGCGCGCATAGAGCCTGCACTCCGCAACAAGAGAAGGCACCGCAATGAGAAGCCCGCGCACCGCAACAAAGAGTAGCCCCCGCTAGCTGCAACTAGAGAAAGCCCGCGCGAAGCAACGAAGACTCAACGCAGCCAAAAATAAATAAATAAATAAAATTTAAAAGAAAAGAAAAAAAAAAAAGACCGAGTATTCCAACTGCTGAGACAGAGGAGGGGGAGATGTGGGGAGAGTTAGTGTAGAGAAACTGGCCCTCCATCTGCTGTGTCAGGGAAATCCCTCAGCACAACGAGTGCTCAAAGTGGGCTGTTAAAAATATGGCGGGTTGGGAAAAGAGTGGATCTTGTCTGAGAAAATAGGCCCATACAACCACCGTGTGAGCATTTACGGATTTGCAGACAGGACCTTTCAGAAACCACTTAATCTTAGAGAGTAAGAATTGGGACCGGGGACTTCCCTGGTGGTCCAGTGGGTAAGATTCCTTGCTTCCACTGCAGGGGACACAGGTTCTATCCCTGGTCGGGGAACTAAGATCCAGCATGCCACGCAGCACGGCCAAAAAAATTTGGGGCCGGAAGATGCAAAATCCGGGTTGGGGGGGACTCTGAGGGGGGACTCTGAGGTGTCAAGACTGAGTATTCTGGGCTTCCCTGGTGGCGCAGTGGTTGAGAATCCGCCTGCCGATGCAGGGGTTCACGGGTTCAAGCCCTGGTCTGGAACAACTACTGAAGCCCGCGCGCATAGAGCCTGCACTCCGCAACAAGAGAAGGCACCGCAATGAGAAGCCCGCGCACCGCAACAAAGAGTAGCCCCCGCTAGCTGCAACTAGAGAAAGCCCGCGCGAAGCAACGAAGACTCAACGCAGCCAAAAATAAATAAATAAATAAAATTTAAAAGAAAAGAAAAAAAAAAAAGACCGAGTATTCCAACTGCTGAGACAGAGGAGGGGGAGATGTGGGGAGAGTTAGTGTAGAGAAACTGGCCCTCCATCTGCTGTGTCAGGGAAATCCCTCAGCACAACGAGTGCTCAAAGTGGGCTGTTAAAAATATTTATCGACCCTTTGCAAGATGCCAGGCGCTGTCCTAGGTGCTGAGGACAGAGTGGCAAGTGAAACAGACCAAGATCCCTGACGTTGTGGAGATCAGATTCTAATGGGGAAACAAATGTTAAAGATAATAAGTAAATCACCAGTATCGAAAGTATCACTGGGACTTCCCTGGTGGCACAGTGGTTGACAGTCCGCCTGCCAATGCAGGGGACACGGGTTTGAGCCCTGGTCCGAGAAGACCCCACATGCCGTGGAGCAACTAAGCCAGTGCGCCACGACTACTGAGCCTGCACTCTAGAGCCCGCGAGCCACAACTACTGAGCCCGCGGGCCACAACTACTGATGACCGCGCGCCTAGAGCCCAAGCTCCTCAACAAGAGAAGCCACCGCAATGAGAAGCCCGCACACTGCAACGAAAAGTAGCCCCTGCTTGCAGCAACTAGAGAAAGCCTGCGCACAGCAATGAAGACCCAACGCAGCCAAAAATAAACGAATTAATTAATTAAAAAGTATCACTGGGCTTCCCTGGTGGCACAGTGGTTGAGAGTCCGCCTGCCGATGCAGGGGACACGGGTTCATGCCCCGGTCCGGGAAGATCCCACATGCCGCGGAGCGGCTGAGTCCGTGAGCCATGGCCGCTGAGCCTGCGCGTCCGGAGCCTGTGCTCCGCAACGGGAGAGGCCACAACAGTGAGAGGCCTGCGTACCGCAGGGGAAAAAAAAAAAAGTATCACTGATTCTAAGAAGCACGTGGTTTACTACTGATGATATTAATTATGTCGTGTTAATTTCAGTTAATGAAATGTTAGAAGATGTCAAGTGCTATGGGGAAAAAATAGATCAAGGTAAAGGAGATTGGAAATTCTGGGGGGAGGATGGTTGACATATTCAATAGGGTAAACAGGGTAGACTTCACTAAGAAGGTGGCATTTAAGCAAAGATTTGGAGGAGGAGAGGGAGTGAGTAAGGTTTTCTGGAGGGGAAACACTTGGACAGAACAGTCTGTGCAAAGGCCCTGAGGCAGGAGTATGTCTGGGATGTTTGAGGCACAGCCAAGAGTGAAGGACGGGGAGTGAGAAGAGATGATGTTAGGGAGGGGACGCGGCCTAATCATATAGGGCCTTTCAATTCTGTAATGCCTTTGGTACCTCTGATCCTTTGATCCTACACTTTTTTTCCTGTTTCCCTTATCTCTCATGTCCTCCCTTCCTTAGGCTGCATAGATTCTGTGGTCAACCACCATAATCGTGCCCTTGCACAAATAACATTAATGCCCTTACTCTTTCTCCCTCAGTCATACTTGCCTGGCAAAACCCCAACTCTGGTTAAAATGAACTCACTGCCTCTGTGTGCCTGCTCTCACCCAGCTGAGCTTGTGAGTGGACACACTTCAGATGTGTGACTGCAAACACGCAGAACCAAACTGCAAGGCTGCCACAGTTTTCTTCTCCAGTCCCTAAGAAATCATTTTCTCATCTTCTTTCTCTAGAAGCCCTCGCCCTTTTCGTTCTCACTTCTTTTGCTGAAAAAAATAGAAGCAGTCAGAAAGAAACTTCCCCATGCTTGCCTTAGGGACACTACTGGCTTACCTTCAGAGGTACACTGCTGTCCCTCCCATGACCATGTTTGGACAATCTGTAAGAGGCCAACCCCTCCACATAGGCACTGAATCCCTTCTCCTCTCCCTATTCAAAACTTTCCCTCTTGTTGTGGCGCAGTGGTTGAGAATCTGCCTGCCAATGCAGACGACACAGGTTCGAGCCCTGGTCTGGGAAGATCCCACGTGCCATGGAGCGGCTGGGCCCGTGAGCCACAATTACTGAGCCTGCGCGTCTGGAGCCTGTGCTCCGCAACAACAGAGGCCGCGATAGTGAGAGGCCTGCGCACCGCGATGAAGAGTGACCCCCACTTGCCACAACTAGAGAAAGCCCATGCACAGAAATGAAGACCCAACACAGCCATAAATAAATAAATAAATACATACATACATTGTGTATAAAAAAAAAAAAAACAAAAAACTTTCCCTCTTGCAATGTTTCCTTCTCTCTCTTGCATCATTATTTGTACAATGCTTAAGCCTTTGTTCCTTTAGGATTCCTCTTCACTGAATGCCCACACTTCCCCGAAGTGCTGCTGAGGATGCTTCCTGAAACTTGCGGGCCCTAGGCCCTCCCTCTTTGGGAGGCCTCCACCCTGAAGATCACTTTCCTCCA